TACAATAGTTCAAGGACCAACTTAGGCCAAATTATAAACAGTGGGACCAAATTGGCAGTCCGCACAATAGTTTAAGGACCAAATCAGGAATTTCTTTAGTTCAAGGACCAAATCAGGGGTCCGTACAATAGTTCAGGGACCAAAATGGGGATTTAACCTATAATAAAACCAACAAATAGTTCCTTTCTGTTAAGTTTGGTTTGACTTTTGCGAAATTGATAAAATATTTAAGTATAATTGATAATCAAAGCAGCCTAAAATATAAGAAAATGATTGTTACATCTCTAGTTTAATATACTATTAATATTTAGTAGTTTAATCATTAAAATTTACAAGTTTAAGTATTTTTATATTTAATTTGAATTTAAAAATAATAATTTTTTAATAAATATATTATGAAGCCTATTAAAATAAAAAGTATACCATCATTATCGTAAAATATAATACTTTATTCATTACTAATATTGCATAATGAATACATATAATAATTGACAATATATTTGTGAGTTGTATAATATATTTTAATGAGAATAGAGATTATAAAACTAATTTATATAATTGATAGATTTTTGTTAATTTTTACAGTTGACCACTCTAATTGGCGGTTAAAATTAATTATAATAATTTTTTTGGTACATCTAATAATAATGCCCTATACAAGAGGGACCTCTCCTTTCCCTACCCATTTGAATCAAGATTTAAATTTGAAATCTTTAATTTAGAATATCAAACTTATAACCATTAAGTTACCTTTTCGATGGTAAAATTAATTATAATAATTGATGCCCTAATTATAATTTTTTTCTTTATATTTTAGTTTTTTTTTTTGAAATCATAAATTAAATCCCTAGCCCCTTTACCCATTAATTCCTTAAACTCCAAACCTAGATATCAAACACAAAATGCTAAGCTTCCATACTCATAAATTAAGCACACATATCAAAGGAACTCTAAACTTCCATACCTAAACCAAACACACACATTAAATCATTCTTAACCTTTATAACACCTAACAATCTCTAAAATTAAATTCTTAAATTTTTAAAGTAAAAATCTTAATTCTTTAAATAATTAAAACCTGAAACCTTAAACTCTAATATATGCTGGGGATACTTGTATAATAAAAATGGTTTTTATCAATTATGTATATAAATATAACTTTTATATTATTTATATATTATTAAAATATTAATTATATAACTCACACATAAAGACTGTTCGTTATATAACCATTTTTGCTAGTATTATTTCTTTAAAAATTTATC